TGGATGGATGGATGGATGGATGGATGGATGGATGGATGGATGGATGGATGGATGAATGGATCATTAACATCTCATAAAATAGCAATTTCTTAAAAACTGCCTTTTACTGTATTAGTGATCAAATCCTTCTCCATATGACTTAAACATAACACTATCTTCAATTTGTGTTTTTTCAGATGATTAATGTGTAAAAAAAAAAAAATTGTTTATGGATTTTTTTTAAAGGCAAGGGCAAACTTGCTACCCTGAGATGAAGAAATGTGATGTAGGATGTGAATAAACATTTGTGTTGCCATCAGTGAAGAGGTTTGGTCTGCTTCTATTCCCTATGGTTGTGTTTGAGTGGTTGAAAAATGTGTTTGATTGTGTCTTACTGGGGTTTGCCTTTCGCTTTACACGTCAGCTCCAGGTTTTCGCCTTCTCTTGTCAAGCCCTGTGGAAATCCCACCATGATCTTTACCTCTGGTTTGTCTGAAATGATGAGAGGAAAAAGAAAATGGAGAATAAAATAACCATCAACTGAAGAAAACTGTACAGAAAATTCGATTGCTCAGGCAATTATCTAAAAACTGCATGCATATCAAACACACACTGTGGATTCACTTACAAAAAAACTGCTCCACAAGTGAACAGTCGATTCACAATTAAAAGCTTTTTTAGTTTTAGAAATCCTATCAACTCATTTCTGGTCCCAGGAAACATGTATGTGCTGGTACCTTACGAATTTGTTTAGGCAGGATGGTAAAGTAAACTTGGTCTCCCAAAGCCCCTCTTGTATGGCGCTAACGTATATATATATGCCCACTATATGCACAGTACAGTCACAAACAAACTTCTTGACCAGATCCTGTGAAACTGAGCATATGATTCACAGTGGGCCGGTTAAGAAACTCCCTGTGGTGCAGCAGGATATAAGTGATTGTGGTATATAATATATGCACTGTGTTGACTGCCCTAACAGAGCAACCGAATAGACTGAGGCTCTCATGTAATCAGACGTTTAGTTAACTTAGGAACGTATCAAAGGTGCTTATAGACATGCAAAAAGATCAGCAAACACTGCAATGGGCTGTGTGTTTTGATTAATAAAAGCAAATTATAAAACCACATCAGGTAACCATGCTGAGAGTATAACTACTGTCATTTTAAAGGAATAGTACACCCAAAACATGATTAGCCTTCATTTTCTACTCACCCCCATGCTGAACAACACTCTGGAGTACTTTTTTGATATCTCAAATGCATCTGGAGATCTGGGAGGCTTCTTGCTGTCTGCTGACTTTCAAATAATGGAGGTCTATGGTGCCCGAGACAGAAAGGTCCATAAAAGTCCACAAAAAACGTGTCAATATTCCTCCATACTGCTCGTCCAATGTATTCCAAGTGTCCTGAGTGGGTAGCGTCCATAATTTACTCGAAACGAAGTCATTTAGAATGTTTTTAGAGCATAAACAGTAGTGTATAGGATTTCCTAAAAGCGCGTTCACAACGCTACGGAAGCCGGCAGACCAAACCAGATGAAAGTGCGCATTCAGCGTCTGCTCTGCTGATAATGCAAGCGTAGAAGAAGAAATGTGCTGTTTACCTGTGCAAAGAAAGAAACAACAAAAGAAAAATGTCTGAGGACTTCAGTGTTGAGGAAGAGCATGAGTTCTTTGCCGAGCTGAATGCGCACTTTCATCTGGTTTGGTCTGCCGCGGTTTCCGTAGCGTCAGGAACTCGCTTTTAGGAAATCCTATACACTACTGTTTATGCTCTAAAAACATTCTAAATGACTTTGTTTTGAGTAAATTATGGACGTTACCCACTCAGGACACTTGGAATACATTGGACGAGCAGTATGGAGGAATATTGACACGTTTTTTGTGGACTTTTATGGACCTTTCTGTCTCGGGCGACATAGACCTCCATTATTTGAATGTCAGCAGACAGCAAGAAGCCTCCCAGATCTCCAGATGCATTTGAGATATCAAAAAAGTACTCCAGAGTGTTGTTCAGCATGGGGGTGAGTAGAAAATGAAGGCTATCATGTTTTGGGTGTACTATTCCTTTAAGGAGATTTTTCCTTTTAACTCCCAGTCTCTGGTGCATCTTGCTGTTGAAGGGAGAAAACAGAATTGAGACAGTGTTATTGTCCCACTGTAAACAAATTATGGAAACTGAAGAAATTTGAGGATTTAAATGCTTACATCACCAGCTACCATCCATGTACTAACCAGGCCTGACTCTGCAGAGCTTCTTTGATCACACTGAGAACAGGCTTTGGTAGAGTAAACACCCTAGTGAGATCCAAAAAGCTGTTAAGGACATTCTGGCAGTGCACAAGTCTAGTATGGAATTTAACAAGGGTTCAAAAGTTGCTAAAAATCATTTATTCCATGATGGAATTTTTTTTTCACGTGGAGGGTATTCGGATCATTTGCCAACATGCCCAGGTCTGTCAGGTGGAGTGGATAGATGTTTCAGTTTGACAAAGCAGTCTGACCAGCCTGTTGACAGTAAAATCATTTTAATGGTACATCCCCACAAAATGATTCCAGCTATTTTTATTTTTCTGTCTGACCAGAACTCAAAACTCCATGGAAAGACCAGAGCATGGTCAATGGAGGTAAGGTGAGGAGGAGTGGTGGAGCTCAGACAGGAGCAGGGGAGATTGGAGGAAGAAGCCTTGCAGAGAGTACCCAAGCAGGGTAGAGGCAGTTGGCAATGCCCCGCCCTGCAGCTAGGGTGGAGGCAGTTGGCAATGCCCCGCCCTGCAGCTAGGGGAAGAAATATGGAGAGTAGACAGAAAAACTGAGCAGAGAGTCCAGCAGAGGCTGTGGTAAGATGGGATCAGCTTTGAAGATTAGGGTGACAGCCTTAGGGTCGAGTGAGACACCTAACAGAGAGAAAGCACCTTGGTGGGTCCATCTTTATGGTGAAACAGCTTTGTCTTCGCTTCGCACTTTCACCTTACATCAAAGCCACATCCGGTTCCTGTTTGTGGTCGTCACAACACAACTTAACAGATAAGCTCAGATTTTTTTTAACTCACTGTACTTTTATTGCAGTTGTTGCTTCCCTGTAATCACCATCATTTTGTCATTTGCATCACTAGAAGCATATCCTTAACATCTCTTTGCATTACTGCACTCATGAATGCAACTCTTAATGTCGATAACATGTAAATCACTAACTCCAGCTGCTTGAATTGCGTTTGGAGTGAATGCATAAAATTAAGGATAAAAAAACAACAACAAACTTAACATGAGATTCTGTAGTTTGCTAGTCATATCACAGGACCTGTGATGGACTAGCAAACTGTCTGGTTCTCCAAACACTGGAATTCCTCATCTTTGTCCTTATTTGACCTGAAAATCATGTTGCGTATTATAATTGGATCATAGGTGCTGTCCAAAATTAGGCCAAACAGAAATGTTGAAAGTCAGGCCTGGTAAGACCATTTCATCAACCTGATGCACCTCCAATCACAATAAGATATTGATGGAGATGTTTTTCGCAGATCAGGTTTAACTTTTTACTTTTTTATTTTTGAATTCTTTTAGACTATACCAATTCAACAAAAGCATGTTCTCCTCAGATGATCGAGCATCTCACCTTATCTCTATTGCATATTGCAGGTATAGAACAAAAGCTTAGCTTAAGCTGCTTATATACATAATTCTTTCTCTATATATAGACAATTAATACAGGGTTTGGAACATGAATGGAGCTGTAAATGAAAAGCTTCACTTTTTGTCCCAGATACTTCTTCACCACAGCAGGTCCAAGCCATGCTTTCTATCTCAAGGTCCTTCCTACCATAACTCATGAGCCTGACATCAAGACACTAAAACTCTTCCTCGTGAGGCAAAGACTGAGACAAGTCTACTGATTAAAGTTGCTGCAGGAAAACCCAGGAAGACCTTCTTCAGGGTCAGTATGCATCATAAATCAAGGATGCAGAATTTGCTGCTTTGAATTCTTTAAAGGATGGAGTGCAAGATGAGGAAGCTCTTCAAGCAGAACAGACTGTTGACATTTAGCATTTTGGCCTCCCACTGAGGGAACCGTGGTTGAATGTATAAGGCAGAAGAAGAAAACACCACTAAGTCAAAAATGTGCTTGTGATAAAAATGTCTGGAAAAGCTGCTTCTTAAAACAAACAGAGAGCAATGTCAGGGGGACGTTCTCAACAGTTTCAGAGATTAAAAAATAACAAAAGATGCAACAATCAGAGCAACATCCATGACTTCTTCAGTGGTGTTTGAGTGAGAGTCGGTCAATTTTATGCCGCTCAAAGGTATCTTTATTGACAACAGGAAAAAAACAGCAAGCTGAACAAGCTTGGCCTCGGAGGACTTGGCTTGACATAGAAAATAAAGTCATATTCAATGTGTTTTTCCATTACACTTCCTGCCCTGTTAGCCATGGAAGGCTTTTCTGTAGCTGCATCCTGGATAAATTCTACATACACTTCAACCCAAAGAAAAAAACGAAATAAACAAAAAAGAAAATTGCAAAAGAAAGAACACCTGATGAAGACCTAGAAGACAGACAATGCGCATTGCATGCCCATTACAAAAAAGTAAAAGAAAAGTCACTTAGAAACCTCTATAGAAGTAATTGTAATATTTTATTACATTTATCAAGAGGGAAAGAACGCAAGAAACAAACAAAAAGTATTCTGATTTGTTTGCTGTTTACCAGTCAATGACTACTTTTCCATGCTCTGGAGAAAGCGGCTTCAGGTGACCTTTAAGGGTGCTTTGCCGTAAAAGGTTTTCTATTAGATTGTATTAATATTATAGTGCATGAGCACTGTTAAAACAGGTTCTTCCCATATTACCGTACTGTTAAAGTATTGCCCCGTGAAATGGTGGGAGACAACAGGGGAATGGTTGTCGTTTACTTCTGAATGTGTTTAGCGTCGCTGAGAGCTGTGCATTAATTCAGTTATTAATTTAATCTTATCAGTGGTTTAACAGGTTGTATTTTTTTTTTTTCTTTGTCTACAGGTGGAGCCCTAGAAAACTACCCATGTGACCCAAACCAGGCCTCTGCAGCCACTAAATATAGCTTATAGCTCCGAAAGCTGTTATATGTGTATTATTTAGTCAATGGGTTTAATAACAACAAAAACAAATTAATATTTCAATAATACTTAATAAAAACTTTGGTAGTGTATAGTTATGTTGGATTCACACATTTGATTGTCAATTTTGATAATCTAGTTAGCTATTTAAAGAGTAAACTATTTTTGAACTTTTTTCAGCTTTGCTGAATTTTAATAAAAATTTGCAACATTGATACTACATTTATCCCATTAGTCACTGGTTGGATTTATGCTTTGTACAGATGTTTAAATCTGGACCAGGTTCCAAAAAATATTTCAAACCTTGATTATCCCCTAGAGCTCTATTTTATCCATCATCTGCACATGGAAAGAGGATAGATCAAATGCAGACCTAACAAGACATGGAGGTCCACCT